CAACACAACAGATAGCACAACACAACAACAACAGTAACAGATATCCAGCAGCAACTCAGGAAATCAATTAAAATTCCCAGGAATACCAACAGCAACACAAACACCCAGTAACTGACCCCAAAACAGCTTGATAACAACCAAATATCAATCAAAACACAAGCAGAAACACCCCTAGAATTCAGTAATCAAGAAAAACTCGAAAATACAACTCCACAGTTAAAGCTGAAGCTCTTTTTAGTTTCAATGGGATAGAACTAGTTGAACTAGACTAACTCTTAAAACTCTCTTCTAGTTTTCAGAATGTTCAACACCCTTAAGATTTCCAGAATGTTCTCTTCCTAAGGTCTGCCCAAAAGAAAAGCCAGATCAGACTCCAAGGATCCTCCCCTAATTCTGTCCAGACCCCTATTTATACCCAAACCTCAACCCCTTCCCGCTCTAAGGAGCACTTAGCTCATTAAAAAAGTATTTCTGCCCACTACTACATGTTTTGTTCTCTTTTTAATTCACTTGTTCCCCACTACCCTTGTCTTTTTTTTATTTAAATTCAAATAGGTATGGGCACCTATTTCTTAATCCATTTCCTCTAAACCTTCCCCTACCATTATGTTTTGTTCCCCATTAGCACTTAAACAATTCATTAGTTTAATGGTATTTCAGTACCCTAATGTCAGACCATTCAACTTAAACTACTTTCAAACCTTTTTGATCCCAAAATACCCTCCTAAAGTCCCTAAAATTACTGCCCTGCCCTAAACCTCTTAATCTGATGGTAGAACTCTATAAGTTATAACATTAACAACTGATTTCTAACTGATCACTAAAGTACTACAGTTATAACCAATTCACAACCAAATTCAAACAATGATTCAATCAGAAGTGAAGTAGTATGAATCAAATTATTATCAGGTTATTCTAACATTCAAGCATGTAAAACTAATCGACGACACTTATCTAATCGACTACACGAATTACAACACATACAATCAGTAGCAAATCAGAATCGAACAGGCACACAGGTGGTTCGAGTCGTATTGATAGAAACATGGAATTATAATAAAACTTAACTAATCGACGAAACTCATTCAAATCGATTATATAGTTTATCATATACTTGACCATGACCAGAAAAGGTTCGACCAAATAAAAGGTCATTGAAGAAGGACAGAATCAATCGACAAAAAAGAATTGAAAAATCAATAAAACTAAACTAAATAAATAAACAGATATAAACAAATACAAAATGGAACAAACAGGAAAGGAAAAATACCTCAAGAACTCGGAAACATGACGACCCTGACTTGGACTCTGACTCGGACTCTTTGAGGTTGAACGGACCTTAATCGAGTGTTCTCAACTGAGAACACTTCGACTAAGGTCGATTAGACCCCAAATCATCCTTTAATTTGGACAGATTTCAACCTTTGGTTTACTAGGGTTCTTGGGGGTTCGATTTGGGGTTCGAACGGTTCTGGTCTGATTTAAACCAAACCAACGGTGGTTTGGTGACGAGGGAGGTCAGAGAGATGTCCGGTATGAGTTTGGGACTGGTTGGGGTAGGTTTAGGTTCTGCTCGAATCTTCGATTGAAGATTCGAGAAGCTGGAGGTTGATGCGAGGCAAACGGTTAGCGGATTTGTAACGAGGGTGGTCAGATGGCTTAGGGGTGTTAATTTGGTGACCGGCGGCGTTGTTGCCGCCGGGTTCAGGCGGAGGTGCAACAATGGCGGCTAGGGTTTGGGTCTAGTCCATCTCTGAGCTTGAGAGAGACGATGGGGTGAGGAGGGGTTTGGTTTGGGGTGTGGGGTAAGGGATTAGGGTTATATACGGGTGGGGGCATTTGATCTTGGCCGTTGGATCAATCACGATCAACGGCCTGGATCATTTTACTAATAGGCACGGTGTCATTTGGAGTAGTACTGGGGCGGTCCAGGTTGGGTCAAAAACGGGTTATGGGAGGAGTGGTCTGGACCGTTCGATCAAAACAAATCACCGGTCCAGATTGAGCGTGACAGAAACGACGCCGTTTGAGCGGTCGTTTTGCCAGATCGACTGGACCGAGTACAGGAGTGAAATTTGGGCCTGGTTTTGGTCAAAAATAAAATGGCCCAGTTCCGATTTCTTTGGATTTTTCATTTCTTCCTTTCCTTTTAACTTCTTTTTAATTCCTAATTACCAAAAATTAAATTCCAAAAAATCTTAAATTAAATTATAGAACTTAAATTAACTTGTTAAAAACACAAATTAACTTCTATTACAACTATTAACACAATTAAACATCAATTACAAACAAAATCACACAATTGAACTACAATACATATTTTTGTAATTTTCGCTCTTTTAAAAACCAAATATGGTTCAATTAATTCCTAATTGCAAAATTAAATCCTAAATGTGAATGCAATATATATTTTGTATTTTTTCTTTAATAAAATGAAAACAAACATGCACAGACAAATACAGATAATTAACAACATGCCACAAAAAAAAAACTCTCAAAATTTCGTATAAAGGAAAAATTATGTTATCTTGATTTCTTTTGGAGTAGTTCTTTGTGAAGCAAAAAATCACGTGCTCACAATAGTTATTTAAGTTGTTTGAAAAGGTATATCAAATCTAAAGTGGGTTGCCTCATAATAAAATCGTTGTTGGTACACCACTTGTTATTGCTAACAGTGTCATATCACTTGATATGATATTTGGAAGTAATGCATGATATGAAAATATTATTTCGATTCACCCGAAGGCATCTACAAAGAATAATCCCGTTATAGCAGAGTCGATTCTTTATGATATAGCCTTGAAATCTTGTTCTTGTTTAGGATTTAGCTTTGATTGTGCTTCCTATAGCATTTTGATTCTTAATAATATACTAACTTTTTTACTTTGTGTTCTAACGCTCTTTTAATGGAATAAAATTATGTGCCCTAAGTTGTTTTTTATTTGAATAAGAATTTTACTCATATGATGAATTTAAACAGTAATTGAATTGGATTCTCTTGCTAAATAATTAATTAAATGATTTTATTATTTTATTTTAACATAAAAAATAATTTATTCTATGCTGATTCAGATCTTAATGTTAGTTTATCTCTTGTTTTGAATATTTGATCTTAATTATAATTTATCCACCATAAATTTTATTTTCAAAGAGCAAACTATTGATATGACATTTCACTTTTTTATCTTTATGTTTGTAGAATCATTAGTGGTATTGACTCTTACCAATCATTTTTTTTTCTTTCTCACACATTTATATTCTTAAATTTTCTTAGTTATTGTTTAATAATTGGGTATTTTTTAATATTACACGAAAAATTGATTAAAAAAATATTATTTGAGTAGAAAAATAGTTCAAATATAATATAAACATATATTATCGTGGGAGTATTTTTTTCTCAATTTCAACTCTTTATGCAGTCCACTTAATATTACTTTTATTTTTTCTTGGTATTGGACATTATGGAGTGGTAATGTATTGCCAATACGGCTGATTCTTATGAAATTGATTTTATTAAACCTTCCTACATTTTTAATAATAATTTAATAGACAAAATTTTATTAATTTTAAATATTAAATATTAAAAATTAGTAGCATATAAGGTATTATAGTCCAAAAAATAGCTTATTACAGTTACGTACTCTTCCTATGAGTTCTTTCGTTTAATAATGTAGGGCTATTTTGATATATTAATATTGTATTTATGCTTTTATAATAATATAGGCTCTCTTTTTTCTATATGAATTTGGACAATATAATACATTTTCAAATTAAATTAGTATCAAATAATTGTATTTTTGCTTTTTTAATAATTTATACGCATGAATTTCATAATCCAGCATATTATGCTAGAACTTTTCGTGTTTCAACTAAAATAATGACTATTTTTCAATGACGTTACAAACACTGACTAATTTTTGATTGCAGTCCGAAAACTATCTAGTCTATGCTATTTTCACTTTTCTAAACTCCCTGCCACTGTATGCTTTCATTGGATTAACCTTTAACCACACAAATATTTTAAAGAGTAATGTTTGACAGCGTAATTTGAAACATCTACTATGCCTCTGTATATAATATCTAATGTTTGTTCGTAGACCAATATTCTAATTCCTCTCTTGTAGACTAAACGGGGCTGTAACTAACTAACCACCATAGTTATCTAAATTAGTGACCCTAGCGACCATTGATAATTTGATACTGATCATTGACTTCCACCAAATCTACTTTCTAAATGTGGACTGACTCATTATGAATTTGTGAGGAAAATACTTTCCTAATGCTAGTGCTCTTCCCATTATCTAAACTCCAAAATTTTGTAAAATTCTTTGAACCTTCCTTTAAACTACCACAAATTTTCTTATCCTTTCCTATCTCACCATTATAAATAGCCACGCACATGCAAACCAAAGGTACACACTAAACAAACTTCATTCTTCAAATTACTGATTACTCGAAAAAAACACTTCAAACTTTGCCAAAATGGTTCATGAAAAGCAAGTGATAGAGGAAGTATCCGGCTGGCTTAGAGTTTTCGAAGACGGTTCAGTAGACCGGACTTGGACCGGTCCACCCGAAGTCAAATTCATGGCCGAGCCAGTCCCACCCCATGACTACTTCATCGACGGCGTTGCCGTCAAAGATGTAGTCGCCGACGAAAAATCCGGCAGCCGTCTCCGCATCTACTTACCTGAACGAAACGACAATTCCGCCAACAAGCTTCCCGTCATTCTTCACTTCCACGGCGGCGGCTTTTGTGTCAGCCATGCTGATTGGTTCATGTACTACACTGTCTACACGCGCCTAGCGCGCGCGGCCAAAGCTATCATTGTCTCCGTCTTCCTCCCCCTCGCGCCGGAGCACCGCCTCCCAGCTGCCTGCGATGCCGGTTTCGCCGCTCTCCTCTGGCTCCGGGACCTCTCCCGGCAGCAAGGACACGAGCCCTGGCTCAACGATTACGCAGATTTCAACCGAGTATTCCTCATCGGAGACAGCTCCGGCGGGAACATAGTCCACCAAGTTGCCGTCAAAGCCGGCGAGGAAAACTTATCTCCAATGCGACTGGCCGGCGCAATTCCGATCCATCCAGGTTTCGTGCGGTCCTATCGGAGCAAATCGGAGCTAGAACAAGAGCAAACCCCGTTTTTAACATTAGATATGGTAGATAAATTTCTAGGGTTAGCTTTACCAGTAGGGAGCAACAAGGATCATCAAATAACATGTCCGATGGGAGAGGCGGCGCCGGCAGTGGAGGAGCTTAAATTACCGCCTTATTTGTACTGTGTGGCGGAGAAAGATCTGATAAAGGACACTGAAATGGAGTTTTACGAAGCTATGAAAAAGGGGGAAAAGGATGTAGAGCTGTTTATTAACAATGGAGTGGGACATAGCTTTTATCTTAACAAAATTGCTGTTAGAATGGACCCTGTAACTGGTTCTGAAACTGAAAAACTTTATGAAGCCGTTGCAGAGTTCATCAACAAGCATTAAAAGGAGAAAATTTGTGGTTTTGCAGAATATTTGTTTGTTGCATGCATGTTCAAGATTTTGATGTACCGTCTTGATTGTCACGTTCTAATGGTTTTGTAATTATAATTATGAGGAGTAAATTTCTATTGTTGCGTAGAAATGTTTTTTCTTTGGTAGTAAATGTTTATTTGTAATACTTTAAAAAGTGGACAAATTTCTTTTGAGATTCATGAAATAATATCTTTAAATTTCGAATGTCAATAAGTCCAGAAATTGAAATGTACTGTACCGTCAATGAAGTCTCCTTGAGGCTTTTTTTCACATGATATTCGTCTATTACCACCAAAAAGTTTGATAAGCTATACAATATGAGATTCTCGTTGGTCTCGATTAGGGCAGCTATAGCAAAATAGATAGGGGCGGTGTCAGTGCTATGGCTACGGGTTCGGCAAACCCAGCAATGTAACTTTGGTTTAAATATGTATTTGTCTTGAATAATTTATTAATTTATTAACAATTTAATAATTTAGAACCCAATAACTTATAATGCTTAGAATTTCGAATCTATAAGCTTGAATCCTAATTTCGCTTCTGATTAAATAGAGCTATAGCAAAAATGGAGTCACATGCCGGTCCTTAGTTGGAGCTATATATAGTGAAACGGAGAAAATTTTGATAAAAAGTGTTTATTCCTTTAATGAATCCGTGATACGAATTTGAACTAGTCAGTAGTCAAGCAAGTCTTTGGAGTGCTTTTGAAGATGAGCTTAGTTATAGGAACGACACTGTGAAAGAAGTTTCTTTGAAGAGTTGGGTAAAATTTTACTAGAAGTTTTCAAGTGCGTTTTACGTGGTTCATAATAGAAATAATTGTTGGGGAAGGAAGGAAATAGACTTGATAATTTGAAGCAATCTTGGCCTACCACATTTGCTAGTGCTAGTGATATACGTTTTAGATGTCACGTTTTTTTGTTGCAGCAGTTTGAAAAGGATTGGTCTGCAAGGTGATCCTCATAAAAGTTGGTGAACTAAATTGGAAATTAAAAGAAAGAAAATGAAGTTGACATTTTTGAAGCAGACTTGCCCCTACCATAGTTGTTGGTCGGATATGCACACTGTTTCCTTTTTGGCAAATTGTACACTTTTCTTTTTACCAAATTGTTCATGAAAAGCAAGTAATAAACTTGGCCCTCTACCACATTAAATGGAAGAGCTGTTTGAGAAAATGCCAATGTAGCCTTCTTCTTTGTTTTGTTAGTGGAAACATGTTGAAGTAGAAGACATCCATAACTACACAATATATAGTCAAAGTCACATGAGAGCAAATTCTAACTACCATAAAGAAACCCCAAGAATATCAGACAGAAAAACTATCACTACTAAAAATCCGATAATTAGCGACCACAGAAAACGATCAATGTTGGTCGTTTTTGGCAAATTACCGACCAAAACGCGTCCAAACACGCTTGGTCGTTATTTTGGTGGTCGTTTTAGTATACCAACCAAGATTGGTCGCTAATTACCGAATAAGGTTGGTCGCAAAGGTAAAAGAACCAACGGTACAATTTAAAGCACATACCGACCAACTTTGGTCGGTAACATATTTTAATAATTTAATTTTACCGACCAAAGTTGGTCGGTGTATTTAAATTACGTTATTTTATTAATTATTAAAATTTAAAAATTAGCGACCAAAGTTGGTTGGTAAAATAAAAAATATATATATTTTTAAAAAAGTTAAAATTTAACCATACCGACCAAAGTTGGTCGGTATAGTTGAAATCTGGGTAATTTTTGTTCATTAACCGACCAACTTTGGTCGGTAATTTTTAATTTTTTTTAAACTTAAGCGACAACCTTGGTCGCTAATCAGCAGATTTTTTTTTTTAAAAATTAGAAATCGACCAACTTTGATCGGTTTCTTGGGTTTTAATTTTTGCACAAAATGCCTGTTTTGGCAGCTATACCACATGCCAGCATACCAAAATCCCTAAATAACACCACCACCACCACCACCACAACAACAACAACAACAACGACAACAACAACAACAACAACATCATCATCATAATTCAATAAATACATTAAAACTGACAAATTAAAGTTCAATAGAACTAAAAAATCCAAAACCAAGTTAAAACTTATTAAAACTAATTCAAAATCGGTTCTATTTGTCTAGTTCAAAGTATATAAAAGTCAAGGAATGTTTTGTACAACATCATCATCACCGTCTGATGGACTTTCAACTAAAAGATGGTGTCGAGAAGGGTCTTGTGGAGGACGGGAAGAATGACCACTGGGAGGACGGGAGGAACGATCACGGGGAGGACGGAAGGAACGCCCACGTTCAAGTCGAGCCTTTGGAGATGACTCACGAGACTGGGGCAATGGAAAAGCTCTAGTAGATAGGAGAGTTCTGATCTGAGCTTGCATGCCAAGGAACTGAGCATCTCTAACCCTTCTCTTTTCTTGGCTGCTTCTAGCTCGGTGTGAGCTTTGTCACAGTCTCCCGCATAGCGGATAGGTTCTCCCCATCAAGTTGCTCGCCTTGCGAGGAAGTCCCTATTTCTTGCGTTCCACACTTATAGCGATGGAATTTCTTAGTAGGAAGCCCATATACCTTCCCCCATTTTGGACCGCCAGTAGACTCCATCTATATTCTTTTAGTTGGGTTGGCTCGCCCGAGTCATTACGTGGCTAGGTGAGGATAAATTCCTCCACGTTAGTTTGGTAGCGACCCTATACGAAAATTTACATTGAATTAGTATTTCAAAATTCATATAAAAGTAAATTAAAATACTTAAAGAAAAGTGAAAACTTACATATACAGTCGAGGCCCGGTCCTCGACCCACCTTTTGTGATCCGTCTTTTTCTTCTTCTTTATAATATATGTTTCATTGAATAGCTCATCATGGTTCATTGGACGCCCCAACTTTTTTTCCTAAAAACAAATTAATTTAGTTAGTAAACAGAATAGATATACTTTGAAATTAAAATAATTTAAGCAATTACGTACCAATGTTCTTTTTATTGTCCCTAGGTTGATCACACCTCCAGTGTGCAAGGAGCTTCCCTTCTCAGATGCGCGAGCTTCTTTCCTTTTTCTCTCTTCTCTAAGAACTTTGCGGTAATCCATTGCCTTAGCAAATCATCTGTGACGACCCAAAGGGTCATCACCGTAATTCTTCCTAGTTCCGTGCTTCCGAGGCCCTGAAAACCTCGCTTTTAGTTGCCTCGATTTGCATGCGCAGTTCGGGCACGTAGCCGGAAAGTTTTTATGTTAGAATATGCGAATTTTGTGAAAAATTTGATGAATTTTGATATTAATATGCATAATATTGACTTCGGTCAATATTTTGGGTAAAACGGACCCGGACCTGTGATTCGACGGTCCCGGAGGGTCCGTAGAAAAACAAGGGACTTGGGCATGTACTCGGAATCAAATTTCGAGGTCCCAAACCCGAGAAATAAATTTTTGTGTGAAATTATTTTCTGAAATTAATTAAGGAAAATGAAGAAGAAAATTGATCAGAAAACTATGGTATCGGGCTCGTATTTTGGTTCCGACGCCCGGTACGAGTCTTAAATATGTTTTAAGCACTATCTGTAAAGTTTGGCTAAAAACGGACGTCATATGATGTGTTTCAGACTTAAAATGGGGAATTTGAGTTTTTTTTTTATGAAAGTTGAAAGAAAATCATGTATTTTGAGGCTTGATCCTATGTATAAATGTTATTTTGGCGATTTGATCGCACGAGTAAGTCCGTAAGGTGTTTTCGAGATCATATGAATGTTTGGTTTGGAGCCCCGAGGGCTCGGGTGAGTTTTGAGTAGGGCCCGGGAGGTCTTAGACTTAGAAAAATATACAGGTTCAGATGTTGTAGGCCCAGCGCGGCCGCGACCATTTCTGCGCGGTCCGCGCTGGCAGTCACGCGACCGCGGTGCTTTTCTGTGTGGTCCGCGTGGTGGGGTTCAGAGGGTCGACCAGCGCGGCCACACACCAAATCAGTGCGGTCCGCGCTGGGTGGGTTCAGATAGAGCACACTTCTCCCCTCCCTCGGCGCGACCGCGGTGCATTTCTGTGCGGTCCGCGCCAGCCCCCAACAAAATGTATAAATTCGGGATTTTCAGTCATTTTTCCACCTTTTAAGAACCCAAAACCTAAGAGGCGATTTTCCAAACAACTTTTCTTCTTCAAAACGATTGGTAAGTGATTTCTAACTCATTTTTTTCACTTCTTAACATCTTTTAACATGATATCAACTTCAAAACAAAGATTTTTCATGGAGCAAATTGGGTGTTTTGGGTAGAACCTAGGTTTTCCACAAATTGAGGAGTTAGACCTCAATTTGAGGTCCGATTTCTAAACAAATCATATATTTGGATTCGTGGGAGAATGGGTAACCAGGTTTTGGTCCGAACCTCGAGTTTCGACCACGTGGGTCCGGGGGTGTTTTTGACCTTTTTGGGAAAAACCTTGTAAAAATTATTTTCATGCATTGGGATTGATTCATTTAGTAATTATTAATGGGATTAGGTAACTTATGACTAGATTCGAGCGGTTTGGTGGTGGAATCAAGAGGTAAAGCTATACTAGATACGTGAGTTGAGTTTGGAGCATTCGAGGTAAGTGTTTGTTCTAACTTTGACTCGAGGGAATAGGATTAGGATGATATTTGCTACTTGCTAATGTGGAGTACGGTGTATAGGCATGGTGACGGTTATCTATGCACCGGAGTCTAGCATGACCGTGAGTCTTGATTGCTTTTAATTCGAATAATGT